ATAAATGATGTGATAAAAATCTGTTGTGGCATCGTCTCCAGCTGTGTTTTTTAACTATGAAAAGGTGAATGGGGGCAGAGGGAGAACCATGAGGCAAAGATACTGCAAGAGGTGAAAGGGGCAGGTGCACGCTGGTGTTCCAGCAACGGTGGGGTGTTAATTATTTTCATTTGGTCAGTGTGTTTAACCCACTCATCAGCACGGTTAGTGGCTGGAGTTTCAACAGCACCTGTGACACAAACCTCCCTTGCCTCCCCCACTGCCGCAATTTGCGTCAAAATTTCTACTCCTTCTCTGAGTCATAACTCAGTCAAATCTGAACACACAAACATAATACACATATTGTTTTTTTTCAGTTTGATTTACACTTCATTAACTCAGATTCCATCACAAATAGACGTCCATAAATCTGTTTAGATGTCCAGTGGTAGTTGTTTGTATATCCAATGGTACATTGCAAAAAGGAAATGCTAATAGATAATTCAGCATGCTTTTAATGGTGTCAATTTGCCAAAATTGAAAGAAATATAACTACATATACAAGTTATATATATTAACTCCCAATTTAGTTCCAAAAAGTAGAGCATAAGTTTCCCCCAAACTGAAATAAGGAGTAACAAAATCCACTTTTTTCATGTTGCGCTATCATTATTTTATGACAGTACAAAGAGAGGTGTGGAGGGTGTATCCTTCTGTATTGTGTGTCTTATATGTATTTCCATGTTCTGTATTGTGTGCCCTGTTCTTTGTGAGTAATTTTTTTTAAAAGCAAGAATGAATAAGCCAAGCTCAGTCAATGGCTATTGCTTTTAAGTGATAGAAAAGTGCAAGAAAGCTCCTTTATTATGTTATTTGCAAGTCTGTCTGTGGGCTGCAAAATAAAACAATCCCTTCTGCACCAGTTTTAATTCCAGTTAGTATTTCACTGGTACCCTGTATGTAAGTGTGGGCTGTAAGTGTTACTAAAGTTCCTGTAAGATTGTAGAGAAAATGCATGACAAAAGAGATAACATGTCAGGACAACCACCAGTCAGCAAAAGTTCATCTTCTTTTCATTTCTGATTAAGTCTTCATCAAGAACAGTGCAGGCTTGATATAAGAGATTAGTGGAAAGGCTGCGTTTGCATTAGCTCTATGTGTGTTTGTGTGTGTAGGGTATCTGACAGTGTGCTGGTGTGTACATGGCACAGTACAGGACGTCCTTATCAAGAGGATTTATACGCCTTTGATTTCTGGTCCTGCTCAGGCAGTGGGGCAGATGCTCTGACCTCATCTCCTCTATCGTCTAATAAAACTGTCCTCTCAGCTCTTCTCATCTCTCTCTCTCTCTCTCTCTCTCTCTCTCTCTCTCTCTCTCTCAGTGCTGTTTCCTGTATTTATGTCTCTCCCCTCAGGTCTGTCAATCCCTCATTTCTCTTCTCCTGTCGTTATTTTTTTACTCTTTGTCTGTATTTAATTATAATTTCTTCCGTACACTCCTGTTCCCTGTTTTTCCTCCTGCTTACAGTAAACATCTCCTCGTCTGTTCACTTATTTTCTCTGTTATCATCTCCCCGTGGACAAAATGCAGGTGTCATAAATTCAGTACACTGATTTCACAATATAATAAGATCAGCACTGTAAAGCTTGGTCTATATTTAGCTTTGACTTATCGAAAGTAGCACCAGGGTGAAGGCTATGCAAAGCACTGGGTCACGGCTAAGCTAAGCTTCCTGCATTTTTAATAATGCTGATGCTTTGTAATTAGAAAAAAAAAAGATAGATTTTTAATAAGGAGGAGGAGGCAATCTGTCAGGGACTTCTTTGGAATGAGAACAACACTCAAGTGTGCAAGAGGGTTGGGTAAATGTCCTTATGTTAAGTCAAATATTGCACAGTTTATATCTTATTTATTTTGTGCCCTTTAATTTCAGCTCTGATGCAGCTCCTCTGGCAACAAACAACTGCAACAACATTTTGCTGCCAAGTATAGATGAACAATTTCTAACAAAGGCTTGTGCTCACGATGAGCGTAATGTGGAAGAGCGACGGTAATCAGGACAAAAGCTGAATACTCAGTATTCCACAATACAGGGCACTTAAGGGAAAATAATACACTTTTACATTAACAACAGCATAAATTACGAAGAATAAAGAGCAACATCTCAAACCATGACAAATATCCCCAGAGCTTTTCCCGTCTGTCTCCGCACACTCAAGAGTAATCTGACGCTGTCTGTCATCACCTGCTGTCTCATTCATCTTCACCTCCTCTAAAATGTGAAAGCAGCCTCTCGGCGTCATCACCCCCTCTTTCTGAAGTCCGAGTCTGAGACACTCGCTAGACAGCGACTGACACGGTTCACTTTGATGGGCCGACAAATTTCATAGTGAAGCTTTGCTCATTTGCATTTGAGTCAGGTCGTGGGTGGCTTCCTGAAGATCAGAGCAGCAGTGTTTGGCATGCGAGGGGAAATGTTTCTGTTACTGCTCCATTTGTTGAACAAGTGTCACGCTCGGGGAGTGTTTGGCGCACCAACTTCCAGGGGCCTGAGTTGTGAAGTGTTTGGACAGAGCGTGCCCAGATATGGTACAGCGTGCGGGGAACGGTGCAAGAACATGACGTCTGTGTGCTGAACTTTGTCGTGGAGTATTTGGCATTGCCACACAAAGTCAAACACAGGAAGAATGCATTTCAGTCCATATTTAGGTTTTGCTGTATGTTGTAAGTTTCCGTTCTAATCAGTCACTGAGCCTTGGTTCACAAAACTACGTGTGAGATATGAGCAGCTACTGTAGGTCAACCCTGGTTAACTCCACATTGGCTTTGCATTGACTTCACACACATGCACACACACTCTTGCAGTGAAAACTATGACTCACCGCTGAGCCCCCCCCCCCTCGCCCCTCTTTAACCCGTCAGCCTGCTCCCACCGCACCACAACACCCATTAATTCTACACACACAAACACACACACACACTCTCTGGTCCACTGAGACATTAGTGACAGATCTATTGGTTGAGAGGGCAAGAGGTGGAATTGATGGAGAGATAGAGTGAGGCAAAACGGCCGGGAAGACAACCAGAGCAAAATGAAACAAAATGGGAAAAAACTGAAGGGCTGCAGGGAAGAGAACGGAGCAGTAGACAACTACACAATCCAGTTTTCTATTCTTACACGCCTCTGTGTTGATTCTCAGTGCACACACTCACATGCAAACACACACAGTACGGCCTGGCTTTGTCTTGCTGGGATGGTGATGACTCATTCTCTCCTGTCACGCATGGGACTGGAGAAACACACACACACACACACACACGAGCAGGGAACCGATTGATGGGTATGATGATTGATAAGGAGTGGGATAGCTATTATGATTGCAGTTACATAACCAAGGACAACCTGGACACCTACAGCAGCAGCATTAGAGTGAATGGACTGGTGTGTGTCTG